AGATAAGAGACGATATCATTCCAGTCTCACAATGTCAAACCAAATACCTCGCATGTACTCAGAACAAAATGGAGACCGACAGGCTGATCTGCGATTCGCTAACACTGGGCGGTAAGAGTCTAACGGGGCAGAAGTTAGAGTCAATTGAGATTGAGAGTTCCAAAGGGGAGCAAGGTGTGGCTCTGGGTCGTGCTCCATTTCGATGTTGGGTCAGTAAGGTCATTCGAATTCGACAAAATACATCGTCATACTGTGGGGGACTGGGCTATCGAGGACGGAGTGTTAAAATGCTCCGGGGATAATTCAGAAATAGGAAAAATCAAACGTAAACAAATGGGGAAGTGCCCGTAAGACTGGGCAACGGTAGGCCAACGCAGGGACGAGTGAGCAGTACCAAAATGAAACTGCAAAAGAACATTGTAACGCTTCCTCAATGGTAGTGTTTGGTATACTTTCATCCGTGATGCAAGTCTGACGGTCAAGCCAGCCGCCTCCAATGGCTTCATGACAATGGCAACGATATTATCTCCACACACCCTCCGAGGTCATCATTCGTGCACCCTATGTACACGTATCAAAGGGAAACTCGCGTATTAAGGTAGAAGAGGGCTTAAGAAAAGGTTCGAATCGGACAGGAGAAAAGGAAAACAACAAAGAAAGCAGGGACACTTGTGGCTGCTTTCGACTTGTCTGATATTTGTCCCTGTCGCATATCCACTTGGGCGCTAGTTTCGGGACTGTGCGGTCAGCAAATCAGCTTCTTGATCCACACGGCATCCCGTCTCGGTCGTCAGCGGTTGTCCCGTCCAGCCCTACATTAATGGCTTAACATGGCTTGGCTTGGTAACGTGGCCGATGTCCTTTGGCTCTCTTTTGAGCGCCGTACAATGCTGCGGTTCGACGAGGCCATGTCTTGTATGAGGAGGATGACTTGAGGAAGATAACTTGAGGAAAGATGACTTGGTACGTGATATGACATACACAACACAATATAATTGGGCCGTAGTTAACTGCCTCGTATGTCGTATTTCAAGTGATGTATGTCGTACTCAGTACGGAGTATCAGCCTTCATGTTCCCCACCAATTTCACACGAATCGAAATCTGTGAGTAGCCTCATCAGTAAGTTGTATGGGTCATTGTATGGCAGCGACATGAACCAGGTGACAAACCAGCCTCAACACAATCAGACTGTAAAAGGCGTCGATTCACTTTAATGGTCAGAGTACCGCATACTTACATTGGATATACTTCGCCATTGACGCGCCAGACAAGAAAACTAGAAAATCAACTCGAGACTGTGCTGTGATACTGGAGTATGTTGTGGCACCCTCGTAATAGTTCTCGTCTCAGGGATGAGTGTCGCAAAGTATTCCTTTACTCCTTTGGCCATAGTGCCAGCGGGAACAAAAGTCGGGACCACAACGTTGGGCCCCAGTATCCGATTTGATGGGAGCGGTGCATCACTCTCGAACGGCATGGTAAGGTGTCGTAGTAGGACTTCCGCGTGGAACTACAATGTGTTTGAGAATCGTTTTCGAAGCCACCCATGTAAATCGTTGATTAGGATAAATTCTTCAACGATACTGCTAGATCTCTGGAATAATGCCGGCTTGCCTCGTCCTGCACTTTCACTTAGGTCGTATTTTTGTCTGTGATCGTACTGAAGTGTTGTATTGTTCGGAACCGCCTGGCAGACGGAACTGCGTTTCTTCACACTGGCCGCTATCAACAAGCGAGGTTCCAGACCACGGATCATGCGCAGTCTTTGTATGAATGGACCAATCTAGTATTCTGCGGTATCTGTCGCATATCTAGATGCATGTTTGATATTGTTATCATCAGCATGCTAGTAAGCAAAGGGGAAATGATAAGAGGACATTGCGCGGCGTACCAGTCGCCGAAAGCCTGTTCTTGAATTCTCGGCGGCATATTGCCTTCGTCCTATGCCAACATCACGGCTCGGCGAGTCTGCAGTTATGGCATGCTACCTACAGGTGAGCAATCGCAGGTCATAATCGGCAATAACAAGCAATTACGAAAGAGGGACGAAAAGAGAAGACAATGTGTAGGCTGACTACGGCTGTGGTCATCGTAATACAGAGAGAACAAGGTTGATGGAAGCCCGAGTGGCGAAGTAGACAAACAACGAGCGAGAGAAAGTGGAGGGAGAAGGGTGAACAGACGACAAGCGGCAATTGGAAGACTGGCGAAGTGAGAAATAGCCTAGAGTCGCTCCTTCCTTTGGTCGCATTTTCGTGGAGTCGTTGCACAATCGTGGCTTCCTCACGAAGCCAGGTCGGAATGTACGGAAGGAGCGATGCTCTCTGCATACAAGCCTCTTATTCTAAATAAAGCCATCTCTAAATAAAGAGTAGGTCGCAACGTACAAGTTGTTTTGTAGTAAAAAAAAATACATGTAGTTTCTTCACTGACCGTTTTTATACCCTATTCCTTTGAATGTGGGCTGACTATTCAATTCAAGTATGTTCTTACGAAGCACGAGCAGCCTTCAATTTTGCATTATTTCTTATGTTCATTTTACTTGGGACTAATAAAATGTTGCGAGTAAGCACTATATTAAGACGACACGACGGAACTTTGTTAATTGAATGAAGACATAGCCGATAGCCATGTGTCGTACATAGTTTTCTTTGCATTTGCTTGAGCATTTATTGCAAAAGTCGGTCTACAATGATCACGATGCAAATGTAGACAATGATATCCAATAAATCAATTGAACCAGCCCTAACTCAAATCCACAATCGAGGCAAAAAGAGCAAAAAACGGTGAACCATGAAACTAGAACGCTAAGAGACAAACAAAGTACAGCAAATGATAAAGCGGAGGAACAGATGGCTTCCTAGCCGAACGTTACTCTTTCCAAAATCAACATGCCACCCGTCCTCGAGGTATATGCGATGTAAAGCAAAAACAGCCAGAAAAAGGTCATTGCGAAGAAGTCGTCAGAAGGTCATGATAACTTTTGAAGCGTAGTGGTCGACAAAGAAAAGAAACGACTTTACTGCTTCGACCACCAGTCACCCTGGTCGTGCATGGCGCGAGCGACCTTGACGAAGCCGGCAATGTTGCTGCCAGCGACCAGCGACGGCAGCTCGCCCTCGGCGGTCTCGACGTACTCCTTGGCGGTGTTGAGGCCGTTCTCAAAGGCATTCTTCATAATGTCCTTGAGCTTGTTGTCGACCTCCTCCTGGGTCCAGGCCAGGCGCTGGCTGTTCTGGGCCATCTCGAGACCCGAGACAGCGACACCGCCGGCGTTGGAGGCCTTGCCGGGCGCGTACCAGACAGCCTCCTTGGAGCCCTTCTTCTCCTTGCGGTCGGCCTCGAAGATGTCAATGGCATCCTGGGTGCAGCCCATGTTGGAGCCCTCGGCGATGAACTTGGCACCAGCAGCCACCAGGGCCTTGGCCTCCTCGCCGCTGACCTCGTTCTGGGTGGCGCACGGCAGGGCGACGTCGACCTGGCCGACGTGGACCCAGGGGCGGGCGCCCTCGATGTAGGTGAAGCGGTCCTGGACGTTGAACTCGGTCAGGGCCTTGCGGTCGACCTTGAGGTCGGCAATGGCGGTGATGTCGGCGGGCGTGACGGAGCCGCCCTCCTTGGCGACGATAGAGCCCTTGGAGTCGGACAGCGAGACGACGGTGGCGCCGAGCTCAATGAGCTTCAGGGCGGCGTACTGGGCGACATTGCCGCTGCCCGACAGGGCCACGCGCTTGCCGGCAAAGGAGCCAGCGCCGGCGTACTCGAGCATGTGGGCGACGTAGTAGACCAGACCGTAGCCCGTGGCCTCGGGCCGGATCAGCGAGCCGCCCCAGGACAGGCCCTTGCCGGTCAGGACGCCCTCGAAGTTGTTGCGCGCAGCGCGGTAGGTGCCGAACATCCAGCCGATCTCGCGGCCGGAGACGCCAATGTCACCGGCGGGAACGTCGGTGTCGGCACCAATGTGGCGGGACAGCTCGCGCATGAAGGAGACACAGAAGCGGCGGATCTCGCCGTCGGACTTGCCCTTGGGGTCGAAGTCGGCACCGCCCTTGCCGCCGCCCATCATGAGGCCCGTGAGGGCATTCTTGAAAATCTGCTCAAAGCCGAGGAACTTGAGGATGGACAGGTTGACGGTCGGGTGGAAGCGCAGACCGCCCTTGTACGGGCCCAGAGCGGAGTTGAACTGAACGCGGTAGCCGCGGTTGACCTGGAGGTCGCCGTTGTCATCCTCCCAGACAACGCGGAATTGAACAATGCGCTCGGGGATGGACACAACCTTGAGGGCGGTGCGGTACTCGGGGTTCTTCTGAAACAGGGTGCTGTTCTCGAGTGTGCTGACAAGCTCTGCAAAGAAGGAAGAATTCGGCATTAGTGCGTGATTCAGAGAGGCAGTTGGCGGATTGTGACACAACGTTGGGTATGCCCGAAAATGCAGATATGCCTCTGAACTAATCGCGCACCAATCTCTTATCTCCCAATACAACGCCACCAACAAAAAGAACCGCAAGCCAAACCAGAGTTCAGCTGCAGCTCTGATCGTGTCATGCATCTGCTATCTTGGGCTTCACCTCTGCAATCTTGACGTATCTTTGGCAATCTCGGCAGTCTCGCTCCAATCTTGGCCCAATTGCACCCTTGCATCTCATCCTCGAGCATCCCAAGTCGTGTGTGGTTTTCTTTTTGTGCACATACCGTTGTAGGCCTGCTGGAATTCAGGCTCGACGGGAAGGTTCGACATTATGGCGGTTTTGGAACGAACAGCTGGTATCTACTTTGAAAGCTGGGTGTAAAGAGAAACGTGTTCGGTACTGAGTATGTATATGTGCCGAAAGAAAAATGAAGTATGAAGAATGAATATGAATAACGAGGGGACAGAAGAAGGGGAGGGAGAGAGAGAAGAAGAGTCTTGGGAGGAGAGGAGAAGAGCGACCGATCTTATACTCGGGGCTGACGATGAGTAGGAAATTTCCCTTTATTATTTTAGTCTCGGAAGACAAGCTACGGGATGTTGTGGAGGGCAGCAACGACTAGAGAGAGCTTCGCCTTCCAGACAAAGAGCATCAAGGGGACGGGCGCGATGGAGACGAGGCCGGAAAAGAACGCATGGGTCTTCTTCGTCTTGAGAGGATGGAGATTACGGTGGGGCGTCAACTTACACGACGAAAAGAGTAACAAGAAAGCCGTAACCAGTGGGGTGGAGAGGACAAGAGAGATGGGGAGGCCAAGAAAGGTCGTCGTGCAAGGTAGAGGCAACAAAGAAGAGTGCAACATGGCTAGGGACGCCGTCCGAACTCCTACTTCGGCGCCTTGCAGCCTGGTGTGGCTCTTTCCGTTGACAACGGCCTTGTTGTCATACAAACCCGCTGTTGGAGAAGAGGAGACCAGGGAAGGGACGAGCAGCGAGGCCACGGCAGGAGCGTGGGTAGGCTGGACGGCAGTGGGGGTTGCGTTGGAGCAGTCGCTGGCAGCCTCTACCATTACTTTTCCCCGGGGAGGCGAAAGAGTGCAGACGAGGCAAGAGCAGTCAAAAGGCGAGTAGGCTGAGCTAGCACCGCGGGCTGTGACTGGCTGGGACTAGGCCTTTCGGCCCTGTGTAAGACCGCTAGCAGACTGGCGCCGGAATCGCACGACCAATTGGTGCCTGGGCACGCTAAGCTCGCGTGCGGACAAAATCGAAAGCCAAGAACGTCTCGTCTCTGACCAAGGCACGACCGACAATTCCCAAGAAGGAAATATGGCCTAACAGAGAAAGAGCGAAAAAGCGCGCGAAGGCGAATACCAACTCTGTAGTACAGACGGCCTGAGCAAGGCCTGTAAAGATGCGCTAGACGTTCTGGCAGGCGCAATTCCAAGCACGCTCTACGGAACCACCGCGAGCGCAAAGGCTACACGGACGAGAATTGACAGATTGACAGATTCATCGAGAGATGCAAGCAAAAGACGAGGCACAAACCCGCAAGCGATGTTATGTTAGCATATGTCCGTTTGACAAGGAGGCGTTCCCCCCACGACAGCATGGCATCACTGCATCGAATGGGCTGATGGACGGATCAATGGGTGACAGACCGCATCACGGACACTTCCTGCATCGCTCGAACGTCTTTTCTGACACTCGGCCTGTCTATCGGCTTCTTTCTTCTGCACTATCCGGCGTATTATCAAACGAGCATCTGGTGCAACGTGTCGTGTGTCGCATCCTCTGTCCCTGTCCTTTGTCGGAGCTCTGGCTCCTCTGCGCCGCTGGCCGCGTCGAATGGACGACGGCGATTGGGTCGCAATGGATGAGCATCGAATAATGTAAATACGTACGACATATGTCCATTTCCAACCAATGGCCAAATGCTTCCAGCGGAGACGTAGAGAAAAGCGACAAGGGAACAGGGGCGTGTCGAAAAGGCAGATCCATCTAGATCCCGTCCGTTCTCGCATCGACTAGGTCACTAGAACGAGACCAAAGAGTTAGAAGACTGCGTTGCCTCGTCCGACACAGGACTTGCTTGGGTGGTATTAACATGCGATTCGCCAGTTTGCCACCGCGCCTTTTTATGTGCACGACTTTTTTTGAAACGACCTTTAGGCTGGCGGGCTGTCTTTACCTGGTGAGCTGGGTAGCGCGGAAGGCAGAGGTAGCCTGGCAGTTACGGTTGCCGCTCAGTGCGGCCATTTCCGTGCTCCGGCAGATTCTGGCTCGCATGTTGTTGAAACTCTGTTCCTGAAAATTATCGCCCGCTGGAACGCGGCTGGGAGAGATCAAAAGTGGCCTGGCCTTCACTTGTCATCCATTTTTTACAGCGCAATTATTGTGGCCCCAAGCCTCAGCCGTGCGCCACTGGCAGTCCCATTTCGTGTCCCTCCCGCTTCTGCCATCCACTCTCTGTCCCACCACTCGGTGCTGGCTCCGATATTCGCAAGCTTTTCACCATTCCATTTCGTTTCGTTTCATTTCGTTTTTGACCTTTGAAAGCGATGACGAGGTGCTGCTAGTTGTCCTCTACGTGTCTACCAGACTTAATACTATTGCAACGGGTTCTCCGCAAGACTCGTTGAACAAAAATATTAAACGCTGTGTTCTATGCCCCCTCGCTCTTTTCTTTTTCTGGGTCTTTCTTGCGGCTTTTTTCGTCCTTGGTGGTTAAATATTGCAACACAAATAGGATTTTGTTCAGCTTTTTGGCACACATTGTCTTGTAAGAGCCCCCCGGTTACCTATTTCGGATTATCCTGTTGGACAGTTGTGCGGGAAATTGTCTCACTGCGCAAACCGAGTGTTCTTTTCTTCTGTCTTAAGGTTGCGGTCCTCAAATGCGCGATATAGGCCTGTCTTCCAGAGCGCATGACGCGTTTGAAGCCCATGAAAGGAGCATGCTTGAAAAATAAACACATACGCGAGATCGGCTTCTATATTGGTCGGTTTTGTCGACAAGTCGTGCCATCGCCATTTTCGCGTGTGTCCGGCCTTAATATGGCAACGGAGCATGCGATCAACCGCACTGGTCTGAAATCTGCTGGTTTGGTGTGACCTCCTACACAAGTAACTCCACGAGTGGACTTTTGCTCTGACTTCCCCACAAACGCCATTTCGTGAATCTCTCATGCATATCCATGAGCCTTCTGTTGTGCATCTCCTTAGTTCCTGCCTTTCCGTCTCGATAATTCGTCCACTTTTGCCCAGTTTCCAATCCTCGCGCTTTAAGAGGTCCCAGGCGTCATCGTTCCTTGCCTTCCGGTGCATTTTGGTTCGTTGTGGTTCATTTTGTTACGAAACAAAAACGGCCCTCACTGGTCGAGCGCAAGCCAAGCATTGTGAGAGGTCAACCGGATCAGAAACAAGCAACAATATGTTGTTTGTTCAAGATGGAGGGTTACCACGGCTCCCCCACGGGCGGCTGGGAAGAGAGGGGGCAAAAAGAAAGTGAAATGAAAGCACGCCGTATAACAAGAAAGAGGAGAACAAGAGGATGCCCGCGTTGAAATGCGATTCCGTCGACTCAGACTGTGAGAAGCAGGGCAACGTTGGGATGGCAGAACGCCGTCTCCGGTGCGTTCCCTGCCCTCGTATGTACGCGATGTGGAGCAGCTCTGACGGCTCGTAGTTCCGCGCAGCTCGGGCGAGATCAATAAGTGGGTGCAGAGAGTAATTAAGGAGGCGGCCACGCGAGCGGCGAATTACGGCGTGAAAGCCAACGGACTGACAGGTTGACAAAAATGACAAAAAAAGGTAAAATCAAAAAGGGTCGCTGGGAAGAACCCAGAAAGGGTCTTTGCCAAGACGCTTCGGTCGACGTCGTCAGGCAGGTTTACCCAATGGGAGCGCCGCTCGCAGTTTACATCACCAAACACAAACTCAATCGAAACACATAACAACAAGCTCATTGTGCTGCCAAGAGATAAGATGTGTATATGGGACCGGTGGGTCGATTGTAAGATACACCCAAAATAAAAGTGACTTGGCGAGCCACAAACGTCCGACTTAAACAACTGACTACTGACTGACGTTGGTGACCGACAACGCGTTGACGATCGTTTGAAATATCACACTTTCAAAAGTGCGTAGGTAGCAAAAGAAACGTAGTACTGGGCATGTCGTGCACGCTAAATCTGCAGCAACTGAACAAGCAGATGACTTATTTTCTTTTGATGTTGGTCGTAGATATTTGGATTGGTCGGCTGCGGCGTTCTCTTCCGCCAACGTACGTACTAATGTTGTCTTATCAATCTCCTCATACTCATTAGCCTCGCAGGACCAGTGCCGACCGGACGGCGCTTTCCACGCTCGGCATACGACATACTACGTAGGACGATGCACGACTACTTCCTGCCGCCCGGGGAGCAGAGACGTTAATCCCTGGCTGGCATAGCTCGGAGGGCGCTGAATGGTACAGTGCACGCACTACCCAGGGGTGGAGGGCCGGAGGGCTGGCGAGAAGGAAGCTTGCTGGAGCTTGGACGTACAAAGTAAACGATAAGGACACTACGACAGAAGAGTGACGTGTCGGAGGCGAGGAGGGTAAGAGGCGAAGTTGACAGTCGGTACGGAGATCATTGAGATGTACAAATGAGGATGTGCCTGGGTCGAAGGTTGGATGACGATTTTAGAATAGTAAAGGTAAACTCGACAAAATAGGGACAAAAAAGAGAAGAGAAAGCAAAACAAAGCTGTAAACTATCCACATGCTTCTCATATCCCATGAATTTTCTATTTAACCATCACCATATTACAGCGTGCCCATCATGATAACAAGGTGAACGAAACAAACAAAAGCATCGAGAATACAAAACAGAATCAACAGTGTACATATGCTGAGACCAAAAACAAATCAAGAAAGAAAACCAGGACAATAGAATAAATTATCCGTGCGTCATATCACACGCCTTCCACACTACCATGTCGCCGCGGCGTCAAAGTCGAACCGCTGCAAGTCCTTGTTCGCGTCCTCCAGGTCCTTCTTCGCCTTCATCCGCATGTAAAAGATCGGACAGTCTTTGCTGCTGCAAATCACCTCGCAGTGCATGCTGCCCTGGCACCGCTGGCACTGCGTCCACAGACGCCCGAACCGCACCTCAAGATCCGACACCTTGTCGAGCGTCTTGTTGTACAGCTCGCCCACCCGCGGCGCGTCGTCTGCGCACACGGCGCCCTGGCTCTCCTCCTTGCCGCGCAGCGGCTTCTTGCACGCCATGCACGTCTGCGTCTTCTTGGCAAACTTCATCAGCCCGCCCACCGACGGCGCCGCTACCGAGATCGACCGTGTGTGGTCGCCCGTCAGCAGCGACCGTGCCTTGACCTCGCCCATGATGGGCTCAAAGATGCGGCCCAGCGGCTTCGCCAGCTGGTTGTCCAGGTAGTACTTGGTATCGATGGGCACATTGTTCTCGAGCACAAAAATGGGGTCCTCCGACCGCTCAAAGTTCTTGGAGCCCGTCGCGCCCTTGACCATCACGTACGCCACACGGTCGCCCAGGCCCGGAGCCGAGCCCGGGTCGCGCTTCTTCATCCGCTCGGCGAGCTCGACGTGCGCCTGCTTGGCCTTGTAGCTCTCCTTGGTGAGCGCCTTGGTGATAACCAGCTTCGACATGTCGATCTTGTTTTGCAGCAGGTCCGAGATAATGTCGCGCACGTACGCCTGCGCACCCACCTCGTCCTGGTCAATGAGCATCATGCGCAGCACCTTTTCAATCACCGTCTGCACCAGCAGGCAGTTGTCACGCCGCACAGTCTCGATGCCCTTGGTGTCCATCTTGTCGTATTTGTCGGGCCGCGTCCAATACAGACCGGCGTACCGCTTCTTGTTGATCAAGAGGTAGGGGTAGTACACCTTTTCGAACTCGAGCTTGATCGGCTTGGCGAATTTCGACGACACGAACTGCGCCGCTTCCTCGCCCAGTTTCATCGCTTCCGAGAGGTCCTTGGTGCCAAACTTGACCATGACCGAATCCGTGTCGCCGTACACGACCTGTGCATCGTGTGAGTAGCCGTT